ACACACACACACACACACACACACACACACACATGCATTGCAGTGAAGTGAATGATTTATACTTGTGAGTTTGAGTCATCTTGGCATAATTAATGAAGTTGATTTGAATTTTTCTCCTTGTTGTGACAGAAACCTTAACAACAGGAGGGCGTAAGAGGTGGAGAGAGAATATGGATGTGTAGTATCTTGTGTAATATGAGCTGTTTCTTTCAAAAAAACTAAAGAACTTTTTATTAGTTTTATACTTTAAGTGAATGAACGTTAGTGTGTGTTAGTGGGTTAAAAATATTATTTCATATTGTGAAGTGAGATTATAGCGTAAATCAATGAATAAGTAAGTTAATAAAAATAATACAAYCGTGCATTTCCAAGTCGCAGGACTGAAGATGGTCTTACCTTACAGGTGTTGTCCATGGAGCCTGAAACTATCAGGGAGCAATCCCAGTTAAACTGAACGTTACTTATTTCTCCCAAGTGACCAAGTAGMGTGTGCACACGACTAGGATAAAAACAGAATAAAGCAGAATGTAATAACTTGTGCAGTGTTTTATGTATACTATATTTCATGTAAAGTACAATATAAGTGCTGGGTCATGAAAAATGAAAGCAAACATTGTAATATTGATAGTGATGTTTGACCTTTTGGAAGCAACGTCCCATATAGCAACCGTGTGATCAAAGGAACCAGTGACGAGTTGATCGCCAGTCGTGTTAAAACAYAACGACAGCACCTCTGCTGTGTGACCCTGGAAGAAATGAGAGGAAGATCATCTCTYTTCACTCAGTTATCTTTATTTTCTCAGTTTATTTGATCGTTTCTGCTCTGTCTTTGATAAGCACTGACTGCAAGCAAACAATAAAAAGACAAAAAGACTAAAAATAACCCAAATATAAATAAAGTTCTAGCACTCGCAACGATCCGTCAACACTGAATGAGGTCAGAAGCTAAAAAAACAGAGTTGTTCCTCACTGGGAGAGCCAGCAAACCAATCACATCATAGATTTATGAGAATATGACAGAAAACTCACCACTGCCCCAAAAYGAGACTTACCAACAGTAACTTCTGCAAGTCACACTTTCAGGAAAAGGCACAACAAATTAACAGAAGAAAGACCAACAGCTAATGAGTGAACTCACAGTCAAGGTGGCCACTTCCTGCCCACTCTCCACATCCCACAGTTTGGCCGTGGTGTCCATACTGCCTGTGGCCACCAGCGTACTCTGGGGGTTGAACGCCAGGCACACCTACACAACACAAAACACTCTGTTACATTTTCTTGTGATGCATTTTCCTAGAAATCTGAATAGCGTATGTCTTAGGTAGTTATTTTCTTTGTCACTTTTGATATGAAAGTGAAGTAGAAGCATTTGCTCTCTGTATTTTGAAATTCTCTGTTTGCTTTAGGGTTGAATAAAACACATGGTATGAAAATGTGTCTGAACATGCAGCACTTTAAAGTACCTGAGTAAACAACTGATATAGCTTTTTTTAAGCTGATATGTATAATTGTAAAACTTTTTATGAAGTGTTTTTTACCCCTATTGTGAGGGCACAAAGGGTGTTGCATATATATATATATTTTTTTTTTTCCTTTACATTTTTAATCCAGAACTCCATCCTATTTTAACATGTCTGGACGTTCCTCTTTGAACTAAAGTTCTAAAAATAACATCTGTCTGATACCAGAACTTCCTTTTAAAGCAGTTATGAAACACCAATTAAAAAAATAAAAAGGAATTAGAAAAAGGAATAAAATAGACCGGCATACTTACTATTTCTGACATGTGTCCCTGATATGTATGAAAACATTTGCCAGTCTCTGCACACCACAGTCTACACGTCTTATCAAAAGACCCCGTGGCAATCTTGTCCCTAAGTTAGAAATGGCAAGAAAACAAAGTGAGAAATTTACATTTTTGGACTGTAAAACACAGCAGCAGAATTACAGTCCTGTGCTACAAAGGTTCAGCTGAAACAACTCATTACCCGTAAGGGTTGTTGAATGCAATTGCATATACAACATTTCTGTGGCCCTCTAAGGTGCACAGTTCTGTGCTGGAGGCGGTGTCCCAAACTCTACATGTCCTGTCATAACTCCCAGTGATGAATCTGCAGAATGACAGAGGAAAAATAACAACAGTAATATTTATTTATTTTTTGMGATTCAATACTTCCAGCACCAAAAAGCAAAGAGAACCAGCACATGATGGTAAGAGTTTATTCATGTTTTACTGAAGGTGAGTTTTTTTTTATTTTTATTTTTTTGGTGCTGCTCTTTGATCCCAAACTGTTGTCTTGATGCCAGAGACTTATGAGAAACTGTGTTTCTTTAACTAGTTTTTTTTTTTTTTTGGTGCCTTTCTTTCAATATCAGTGTTCTTTGACATCCTTGAGGCAGTGCTTGTAAAATAGTATGGATGTTTTATCGCTGTGCCTCTCAGTGACTGCTGGATATTGGCATCAGCGACCCTCATGACCCAGAAAGGAAGAAGCTGGTAAAGATGATGGATGTATGGATGGATGGATGGATGGATGGATGTATGGATGGATGGATGGATGGATGGATGGATGGATGGATGGATGGATGGAATTGCTCTGAAGAAACACTTTGGCATCAATGTTTTTTGGGGGCATCTCTTTGGTTTATTTTGGCCATGATTGGTTTATTACAATAATAAAATCATATAACAYCCAACAGGGTTGAATACATTTCATAGGCACTGTAAATTTGACTTGCTCTAATGTAAAGCAGGCAGAAACCACTACTACACTCCAGAGAACCAGTATGCAACTCTTCAGATCTCGACTGTTATGATTTCTAACCAGCACTGAGTAATTTGCTTAGAGACTTTGTAACTTATTGTTTATTCATATTGAAACCAGCAGAGGAGCAGACTAACTCACTTTGATCCAGATTTGTTAAAGGCAACATTTGTCAGTGGCAGAATGTGTGCCTTCAGCTCCTGAGGAAACAAAAAAATTAAAACAATTAAATATTTTTTACATCTTTCCAGGCTATATTGACTTAATTCATTTTGAGTAATTACCTGTGTAACTTCTGTATGTATAATTAACACAAGTAAAAACAAAAAAAAAGGTAAAAGTTCTCCCTTCTGGCTTAAAATGGTCTAACAATTATTCCCACCATGACCATTCAAAAGAAATAATAAACTGTCCACAAATACACAAAATAATAATAACACCTTCTACTCAAAATTTTATTACTTAGAAAATAATTTAGTTAATATGACATGGGACAAATTTTAAAGAGTAACTAAACCACTGCTGCCCTCTAGTGACGCTTTAGTAACTAATTGTCATTTTGTTTATCCACTACTGCCTCTGGGTGGTGGGGAGCTTGCACAGTGCCTTTCTCCAGTGCAAGAGGCAGGGGGATACTCTGGACARGTTGCAAGTCCATCACAGGGACACATAGAGACAAATGAGACAAATAACRCACTCTCCCACACTTTCAATTTCACCTAGGGATAATTTAGACAGTAACTAATATCACTACTGAAATCGGTACATTTTCACATATGCAAAAGACACATATTCAAGATCTGACAAATGGCTGCAATTATTTAGTGACAAAAATGAAATCTTTTAGGCTGCCTATGCATGCTATGTAAAGAACAGTTTCAGAAAAGGCTAAAAATCATCATTATTTCTCCATTCAGAGAACATGATTAATTAAAACTCATTTAACTGCTTTAATAAGCATGTGATGCTGTTGGGTTTCGAGTCTGACCTTGCAGAAGCAGAACCGATGRTGGTCCTGCTGACCCTGTTTCTCTTGGAGGCGAAGGACCAGTTCTTTGACTTGTTCAGACCGGGACTCKGTGATCAGGGGCTCCGCCTGACGAATTTCTGACACTAAGTCATCTGGGTTTGTTCTGAAACATGAAAAAATACAGATGTTCCTCAGATGTTTTCAAACCCTAATCACGCAAAAAAAACTAGTAAAATAAAAAAAATGTGCAAAATTCAACAAATACAATGTTAAAAGTTATAAGCAAGGGAAATAATTAAAATGAAAAGTGATGCTACAAAGTAAACCTTCAAGCAGTTAGTTACACAATGAGGTAAATTTTATAACTATAATAAAGGCTATAGAGTGCAAAAATAATTTTTTGTTTTAAAAACGCCTATATGTTCACAAACAAATAAAGGTTTTATGTTTTAACTAAAACAAGAAAGGATACACACTCTGGAGTCAAATCCAAAAGGTCGATTGATTTGGTCCTCAAATAGCCTCCTTTCTCATACTCCAGGATTATACCTGAAACATTTAAAATATGTGTCAAACTAACCATGTTGACCTAAACAACTCCTGGAGTTTTGAAAGACGAAGAAATAACATATTTTTTCTTTGTTTTTATGCATGTGACACTAACAAACCTTCCGCATTTTACTCCAGCTGACAGGCTAAGTTTTAGCTTTAGCTAGCTAGTTGCAAATGCAGATGTTTGGTCGTTCCAAGTCAGAGTTAAAGTTAGAAACATTCCAGCACAACACTGCTCTAATTCAAGAGACATAACTTACAGGCTGACATCAAAAGTATGACTCGTGTTACCTGGTGGATAATATCTAAGAAGAAACCGCCTCAGCCTCATGTTCTTCTGCTGGAGCGACTCCTGTCAACAAACTATTGCTATGGCAACTGAAGAGTTAAGCGCACGCATGCGCACTAYCAACCAAAACAAATGGACACGCAAAAGCGTCTCTCCCCATATTTGCATGATGAAACAAACACAACACAATGAAATATAAATTAAAAAACGTATGTGAAGTGCCATGTGTTGGCTGTTATTTTGTTTCTACTGTTTTATTTATAACTTCACTGTTCACTGTCAAATGTTTAGTTGCTATCTATCTATCTATCTATCTATCTATCTATCTATCTATCTATCTATCTATCTATCTATCTATCTATCTATCTATCTATCTA